GTTATATCACAGTCCCCATCAGAGCCCCAGTTTATATCATGGTCCCCATCAGAGCCCCACTTATATCATGGTCCCCATCAGAGCCCTTCTTATATCAGGTCCCTATCAGAGCCCCACTTATATCACAGTCCCCATCAGAGCCCCAGTTATATCATGGTCCCCATCAGAGCCCCACTTATATCATGGCCCCCATCAGAGCCCCACTTATATCATGGTCCCCATCAGAGCCCCAGTTATATCATGGTCCCCCCCCCATCAAAGTCCACCTTACATCAGAATACACATCAGCATCTCCATGAGAGTTTCTCATACATCAGGGACCCCTTGTTAGTCACTCTTTACATCAGAATCCTTGTCAGACCCCCCTTTACATCAGGATCCTCATCAGTGTCCCCTGTTACATGGGTGGGGGGTCAAAGCAGATTCCATAGGCAACTTCTGCTGACCTCCATCTCCAATCTGTGCACATTAAGGACACGCCACTGACCCTAGCTGTAGGCTGGATAAAAGCCTGTAGTGTGGCTCCTGGGCCATAGATTGGAGTCTCAGGGCTTTTGGATGTCTACATCAGGGAGACTTTTACCAGTAAATAACATGAATAAAATTTAGATGTAATCTTTGGGGGAGGATTGTTGTTGAAATGAACACGCATGGAGCACTTTGGTGCATGGGACCCACGCTGCTGCTTTGTAAAGTGGTGCCCAGCAAGCAGTGACCCAGGACATGGCAGAAGGGCCACATGTTGGGCACCACTGGTTTATGGATTCCCTGCTGAGACAGGATACAAGGTGGTGAAGGAGAGTGGTGTCACTGGGGGTAGATGGCCAGCAAAGTGATAAATCTCACAATAGTTTTGGGAACTATTCCCATCCAATAGCATGCAGCAACAGCCCCGAAGAAGGGGGAGTAATTTCCCTCGAAACGCGTTGTTGATGTACAGTTGTGTTCAAAATAATAGCAGTCAGACATCACTAACCTGATCAATCACTTTTTTTGGTACAAAATATATTTCTTCATGGCAAATAATTTACTAGCAGGTGTAGTAGAGTAATAGAAATCCAACAGACCCAACAGTCATGACATGCATGCTGCTGATTCTGTGTAGTTGAATCACTAATTGAAAGGGGCGTGTTCAAAATAATAGCAGTGTGGAGTTCTATTAGTGAGGTCATTCATTCTTTGAAAAACAGGTGGCAATTATTGCCCTTATTTAAGGAAGGAAGGCAGCAAATGTTGTACATGCTGGTTACAGTGCATATCTCTCTGAAATTCTGAGGAAAATGGGTCGTTGTTCAGAAAAACAGCGTACCTTGATTAATAAGTTGATTGGAGAGGGGAAAACATATAAAGAAGTGCAGAAAATGATCGGCTGCTCAGCTAAAATGATCGCAAATGCTTTAAAATGGCAACCAAAACCTGAAAGACGTGGAAGAAAGCGAAAAAACTACCATTGGAATGGATAGAAGAATAGACAAAATGGCGCGGACTCAGCCAACAATCAGCTCCAGGAAGATGAAAGAAGGTGTGACGTTCCCTGTGAGGACTGTTACAATTAGAAGACGCCTATGTGAAGCCAAGCTATCTGCAAGAAGCCCCCGCAAAGTCCCACTGTTGGAAAAAAGACGTGCTGAAGAGGTTACAATCTGCCAAAGAGCACATTGACTGGCCTAAAGAGAAATGGCGCAACATTTTGTGGACTGATGAAAGTAAGATTGTTCTTTTTGGGTCTAGTGGCCGGAGACAGTTTGTCAGACGACCCCCAAACACTGAATTCAAGCCACAGTACACTGTGAAGACCGTGAAGCATGGTGGTGCAAGCATCATGATATGGGGATGTTTCTCATACTACGGTGTTGAGCCTATTTATCGCCATACCAGGGATCATGGATCAGTTTGAATACATCAGAATACTTGAAGAGGTCATGCTGCCTTATGCTGAAGAGGAAATGCCCTTGAAATGGGTGTTCCAACAAGACAACGACCCCAAACACACCAGTAAACGTGCAACATCTTGGTTCCAGACCAACAAGATGGACGTTATGGAGTGGCCAGCCCAATCCCCGGATCTTAATCCAATAGAAAACTTGTGGGGGTGACATCAAAAATGCCGTTTCTGAGGCAAAACCAAGAAATAGAGAAGAACTGTGGAATGTGGTCCAATCATCCTGGGCTGGAATACCTGATCACAGGTGCCAGAAGTTGGGGGACTCCATGCAACACAGATGTACAGCAGTTCTCAGAAACAGTGCGACTACAACCAAATATTCATGAAGTCATTCAAAGGAAAGCAAAATCTTCAAACATTTCTCAGTTTATATAGTGAATGTTTGAGTTTGTAAAGAAGAATACAAACACTGCTATTTTTTTTGAACCGTCTAATATTCACTTTTCTTCAATTTATTTTCTGAGAGGAACAACACAAATTTGATGTATTTTTCTTCATGTTGTGATTTGGAATAGAATGTGTCGTGTTCCCAATGCATTTGTGTGGATGGAAATAAAAGCTATTAGAAGGATTTTGAGCTTTATTCACTTTTTTCAACACACTGCTATTATTTTGAACACAACTGTATATATTGCTACTTTTAATAAATGCCTATGAAGTTGCATTTCTCTGGGCATCGGATGCTCCTTCCTTCCCATCTGAGACAAGACTTGCGAAGGGGGATTTATTGGTAGTCAGAATTGTTTAGAAAGGAGAGTGGTGTCACTGGAAGAAGATGGACAGCAAAGTGATAAATCTCATAATTAATATAACCCTTTTGGGAACCATTCCCATCCAATAGCATGCAGCAACAGCCCTGAAGAAGGAGTAATTTCCCTCAAAACGCGTTGATGTAAATTTTGCTACTTTTAATAAACGCCTGTGAACCATACATTGGATGTTGCATTTCTCTGGGCATCGGACGCTCCTTCCTTCGTATCTGAGACAAAACTTGCGAAGGGGGATTTATCGGTAGTCAGAATTGTTTGGAAATAAATAGTGATGACCATGGTTGTGCCGCCAGGGGATAAAGCTGCTGAAATGTTACTTGCGCATCCTTTCCCAGAATCCCCTGCTACTCTATTAATGTGGGACCCTATGACTGTGCCTGATTTTCCCATAACGCTCTCTTGTTGGACATATTGAGGCACCATGGAGCATTTCTGTTAGCTCAGTAGGTTGAATGACACCATCCCTGACATGAGAGGACAGAGTAGAGTACAGAATGTAAAATAAATCGTTCAAACTGAATGCAGTTTAAGGATTCATCCAGCAGACAGGTGTTGTCATCCGAGACGATGCTTTCTGCTTAATCCCCTCTGAATGCTCGACACGTCAGGGAAGGCTGCTTTTCAAAACGGTGAGATACCTAAACTAACATCATTTGTATGAAAGATTAGGGATCTGCCGCGCTCAGACAGAGGGGCAATCTTGTACTGGGATTAATCCTCGCAAAGGAAATAGCCGAACATTTTCATACACAGTAGTGTTTTTCCTTGAAGAACTAAGCCCTGAGTGCTCTACACTGAATTCCAGACAGATATAAAAGATGGCGAATAATGCATCCCCTTGTTTGTTAATATGTTCATCATTAAGTGAAACTAAAACTCCGCTGTAATGCAGCCCATAGACGGGTCGAAAATCGGGCGATTTTCCCACCGTTAATGGGTTAATTGGTCAGCCGTTTTTTGGGGATTTGGCACATTTTTTTGATGGGCAAATCGGCCGATCGTTTTACCGATAAAAAATCTGCGCATGAGCTGTGACCTGCAAGAAGAAGAAAAAGAAGAAGAATTCCAGTCCGCTATTATATTTGACATGAAAAAGTCTTGCGGTTGCAACAATGTATCCATTTGTATCTGAATAAACCCATCTGTATCCGAAATGGAAACAAATGGATACATTGTTGCAACCGCAATACTTTTTCATGTCAAATATAATAGCGGAGCTCTCTGCAAGGGACAAAAGTAATTAAATACCGGCCGTGTAGACGGGACGAATATCGGTTGATTTTATTTTCTACCGTTGGTGGTAACGTTGGCCGATCAAATGAGCGATTTTTCGGTTTTTTTTAATTAAAAAACTGCCGGTTTTTGATCCGTCTATGGCCTGCACTAGACTCATATACACTGCAGCTGATTAACGCACATTTAGGAGCTTTTCTGAGTTTTTTTGAGCAGCCCCTGAACTCTCCCTAATGTTTTCCTATGTGTCCATGTACACATCGTCCTTTACAGGCAGTTGAGTTTACAGTCGTTTTTTTGAACGCACCAAACTTGCGTTCAGGAGTAGATTTTATCAGCATTTCAAATGCTTGTAAATGCGGCTAACTGCTGTTAAATTTTTTGAACTCTTCTATTTCCAGATGCTTTCCAGAGCCTTTTTTCATCATGAAAAATGCATGCAAAGCGTTTTTCCCGGTACCCAAATGGACCCGGTACACCATACTTTGAGGTTTCGCATGAAAAAAAATATGTTAGACACTGCTGCAATAATTTCTGCACAGAAACGAGCCAGAACACATCCAAACACCACAAAAAAGACAGCTAATCTCAACAAATACTGCTCTCTCTGCTTCTGCTCTCTCTATTTCTCTCAAAATGTCTGAAATAGTTAATTTTTTGCTGTTTTTCAGTGCATTCTGGGCATTTGGGAAAGTCTCCTGAGGTTATCTTTAAAAAAACACTTTTAAACGCAAACACGCATAAACGCAGTATGCAAACGCGGCTAAACAGATGTTTTTTAACCTTCGTTTTCCAGCAGTCAGTTTCCATTGTTCAGAAGTGTCCCGTGTACGTGGGGCCTAACTCACTGTGAGCAGGCAGGCTTTTTATTGCAGAAGAGACATGCAATTCTCTTCCACAATAAACTACATCTACCTGCCTGATCACATCCCCAGAATTTAAGCTGAGCTGTGCATGCGCAGCCCAGCTAACAGCGGAGGAGGACCCATAAAGGATGTAAAAGCAATCATTTCTCTTTCTCTCTGTCTGCATTCTTGTACTCATTGAGAAGAACTGAGTGAGCTGTGATTGGTCACAGCTTGTCACATGGTACAAGGCTTTTGTGAATAGCCCTGTACCATGTGACCTCTGTGATCATTCACAGATTTCACACGTAGTAAGCAATGATGTCAGAAGTGACATCTTGCTTACTACTCTGCATGTGATCACTGATTGGCCAATCAGTGATCACATGATCGGGACCTCGCACAGAGGTCCCGTATGACGATCGGAGGACACAGCGGGTACCAGATCGCGGTGCTGCGCGCTCCCAGGGAGCGTGCACAAGCAGGAGGCGGGGAGACCGTTTATAAACGACCACCCGCCCCTGCACTGCCACTTTCCGGCCGTTTATACACAATGGCCAGACAGGAAGTGGTTAAAGAAAAAATTCCAGGTTACATAGTTACATAGTTAGTCTGGCTGAAAAAAGACAAAAGTCCATCCAGTTCAACCATTAAAAAAAAAACAGTTATAATCCTACACCCACAGTTGATCTAGAGGAAGGCAAAAAAACCCAGCAAAGCATGATCCAATTTGCTCATGCTGGGAAAAAAATTCCTTCCTGATCCCCTGAGAGCCAATCAGATATTCCCTGGATCAACTCTACCTATAAATGTTATATCCGGTTATATTCTGTGTATCAGGTATGGATAGTTTACGTAGTTCCATCGGTCCAGCTTGGATCAATGTACCTATGTATATACCATACCTGTGGGATCCCTCACCCCTACACCAGTGATCTCCACTAGCTTTCTGGGTCCCATGCCAATCGGCTTCCCTGCTGCTTTGTGAAACACAGGACGTCAGCTGCTTGGCACAGACGCCATTCAGAGACCCCTTTGCATTATCTTAATGAATGCAATGCATTCACTGATTGGATGAGGTGGAGAAGCAGGGCGGTGATGTCATGCTCTCCACTGTGTCCAGTCAGAGAATTCTTTGCATTAATTGCAGAAATGCAAATGAATGGCACCCGTGCGGAGCAGTCGACTTCCTGCTTTCACAGCACAGCAGGGCAGCATGGGATCCAGAAGTGGAGATCACTGGATTAGTGATGCCTACTACTAGGATTTCCAAATTTCAGGACCATCGGCCAGGTATGGTATATTCAAAGGTCCAATATAAAAATATACAATGCCTAGAATTCTTCAGTGGTTCCGTGACATACATTTTGTAACGGAGACCTCTGACTTGTTGAGTTAATAAAAAAAAGATTTTACTAGCGGGTTCTTCAGCCACTTTTGATTTGTCTGCATTTTAGAAAGTTGTTGTGAGAGCTGCAGGAACCCAGCCAGTCCTCTCCACCCCAAAATCCTCACAATTCTCCTTTCTGCTCGCCACAGACTCCTACCACCCAGCCGGGTGTCTTGTAGCTCCCGCTAAAACCGCAGAGCTTGTTTGATCCTTCACTCCTTATATACACAAACCGCCTGGCACGTTAGCTGCTGAATCCCACCTCTGTCCAGCCGCTGTCTGTTTCCCATTTTACCCTCTGAGATCTGATTACCGTCTCTGTTATTCCTACAGGGTAGCTGAAGCCTGCTTCGCTCTCGGAGGCTCTGATGGAGGGGTGAGTGTTGAGTATCAGAAGAATTCGATGATTATTTGGCGATTCCTGAGCCCCTCTAGTTGGGAAGCTGTTAATCCGTCCTTTGCGTTTCATCCCTTTTAGATTTGAAATGTGTGTGTGGGACGGATTTGTCCCAATACTTCGGGGGGGGGAGGGGGGTTGTCTCCTCGCCTTGTCTCGCTCATCAAGGAAGCTGGCTGCGACTTTAAAATTGAAGTCTGGGAAAGACTCAAACCCACCCTTGTAGTGGGCCCTCCCCGCACTGCAAGAGTAATGCAGGCCATAGATGGGTCGAAAACCGTCCGTTTAAAAAAAAAAAAATTGGTCGTTCAATCGACCGATGTTACCACCAATGGTAAAAAAAATTGGCCAATTTTTGTCCTGTCTACGGCCGGCATTTAATTACTTCTGTCCCTGCAGAGAGCTCCGCTATTATATTTGACATGAAAAAGTATTGCAGTTGCAACAATGTATCTATTTGTATCCATTTCGGATACAGATGTTTTTATTCGGATACAAATAGATACAATGTTGCAACTGCAAGACTTTTTTTATGTCAAATATAATAGCGGACTGGAATTCTTTTTTTTTTCTTCTTCTTTTTCTTTTCATTTTCTTCTTTTTCTTTCTTCTATTTCTTCTTCATTTTCTTCTTCTTGCAGGTCACGGCTCATGCGCAGATTTTTTATCGGTAAAACAATCAGCCGATTTGCCCATCATTGCCGGGAAAATCGTCCCGATCGGCAAAATCGGGAGATTTTTTTCCAACTTCACCGATAAAAAAAAATGTACCAAAACCCCGAAAAACAGCCAACCAATTAACCCACTAATGGTACGAAAATCAGCCGATTTTTTATTTTCGTCTGAAAAATCGGGAGATTTTCGACCCATCTACGGCCTGCATTAGTGCTCGTTCACACTGGAATGCGTTGCGGGAGAGCCGCGTTCCCTGTGCGGCTTTCCGCACCCCATTCCAATCGTAGTGCCCTTGCGATCTACTGCGGGGGTCAGTTAAAGGTAATGACCCCCCGAACGCAATGCGCAAATGTGTTGCGTTTTCCCGCACCAGCCTGCATTAAACCACATGGTACAAAGTACCATGCGATGCAGTTGCCGTGCGTTTCACAAAAGTAGTGCATGCACTACTTTTAGCGCGGTGAGATTTCATCCCATGAATGGGCATGAAATCGCACCGCATAGATCCACATATGAATAGCACAGGAACACACAGCTCATTCCTGTGTGATTCCTATCAGGGCTTAGCGTGAACCGATCCTTAAAGTGGAACAAAAAATGGATGGACAGGCAAGATTTTTAATGCAGAGGAGACATGCCTCTCTTCTGCATTAAAGCTGCCTACCTGCCTGTCCACCCCTGTACAGTGAGCCATGCAGGCGCAGCTTACTGTACAAATTTGTCAGTGCCGAATTTGACGGAACTCCTGTGCATGCAAGGGAGTGATGACATCCCCGTTTCGCCAATGCCAGCGAGACGCGGAAGCCTGCTATCCTGAAGATGTCAGCGGCCAGATGTGGGGCTCCAGGACAATGCATTGCGGGATCGGAGGTGAGTACTGTTACACTTTAACCACTTCCAGTCCGGACACTTTCCCCCCCTTCCTGTCCAGGCCAATTTTCAGTTTTCAGTGCTATCACACTTTGGATGACAATTGCGCGGTCATGCAACACTGTACCCATATTAATTTTTTAGCATTTTTTTGAGACAGATAAAACTTTAGTTTGGTGGTATTTATTCATCACTGTTATTTATTTATTTTTTTTGCTTTATAAAATGAAAAAGTCCAACATTTTTTTAAAAAAGTGTTTTTCTTATAACATTTTGCAAATAAATAATCTTTCTTCATAAATCTTGGCCAAAATGTATTCAGTTATCTTTTTAGTAAAAAAAAAAAAAAAAAAACCAAATTAGTTTATAACCAAAAATTATAATTTTTCTAAATTATTTTTTACATTTTGTTTTATTTTTTTTTATATTCTTATTTATGTTTTTTTTTTTGTTTTTTTTTTACATACTGTCACCCTAGCAGTACAGTGTCACAATGGTGACACTTTACTACTTGTGGGGGGTGATGAAGATTTTTTTTTTTTAACACTGATTGCTTTTACACTCATAAAGTCTGTAAAAGCAATAATTTCTCCTTCTCTCTGGCTGCATTTTTGCAGCCATTGAGAAATACTTTGAGAGCTGTGATTGGTCACAGCTTGTCACATGGTACAAGGCTGTTGTGAATAACCCTGTACCATGTGATCTCTGTGATCATTCACAGATTTCACACGTAGTAAGCAATGATGTCAGAAGTGACATCTTGTTTACAACTATTCATGTGATCACTTATTGGCCAATCAGTGATCACATGATCGAGACCTCACACAGATCGGCGTTCCGCTGTGTCCAGTGAACACAGTGGGCACCGGATTGCAGTGCTGCGCGCTTTTAGGGAGCACGCACAGCTTGAAAATGCGGGCGCTGTTTATGAACAGCAACCCGCTCCTGCACTGCTCCCATCCGACTGGTTATGTACATGGGCCGGACAGGAAGTGGTTAAATGCATATTTTTGCCTGAGGTACCATTAAAAATTAGTTTTACTTACTCTGCCCCTCAGTCCCACAGGCTTTGCCCTTTCTGCAACCATTCTTCCAAAGCTGATTCTCTTCCAACATTCCCAGGCACTCTGACACCATCACATACTATGCAGGACCAGAAGTCCTACATTGTAAGTGAGGATGCCAAGAGCCCACCCACAACCCAGAGCGAGGGATAAGGCAAGTAAAGTGCTTTTTAATGATACCCTAGAAAAAAAATGGTATTTAAACACTGCAGTATGAAAGTGATTGTAAACCCTTACATACATTCAGTGACTATCCTTGGGTAATACACAAAGATTAAACAGATCCTCCTACATAGCTGTTTAAAGTCCAGAAATTATACAGCTTGTCTGAGCTGTCAGAAAAAAGTGGGTAGAGAGCTGAAATTACACACTGCAGGGCTCAGTGAGGAGAGTTCTGAGAGCTGATTGGAGTAAAGAGAACCCCCCCCCCCCTTTACACAGAACACAGAAACATAGGTGAGGTAGTCAATCACTGGATGTGTGCTGGAGCTCCCTCCCCTGTCAGCTTGTCACTATCGCTTGGTGTCAGGAAAACTTGTCAGAAGTGATTTATGCTGATAGCAGAGGACTGAGGCAGCAGACAGAAATGACACTTTGTGCTCTGGATTGAGACAAGTACACACTATAGAGGGAAATGCTTTTTCATGTCTGAGGTTTTCAACCACTTCAAAACTGATATCATCTGTGGAGTCTCCTCGCAGTAAGTCCTTTCAACCGCTAGATGTCCTCAGTTTTCCAAGTTGAATGAATCTGGGTGTTATTTAAAGCGATAGTTAACCGCGTCCATCAAAAAAAAAAAAAAACCCCTGCAAGGTAAAGACATAATGTGCTAGTATGCATTGCATAATTAACCAGCAGGCGTGTATTTACTACAAGGCAAGCAAGGCGGGGGGGGGGCAGCACTGCCCTTCGGAAGAAGGGACACACGCAGCATGGGAATCTGGTGGTTTGCGGGTTTCATGATGGCAGTGGTGCCTCGAGGCAGGTGTGGGGGGTGCGACCTGCACCGGGTGACACCGGACCCGCTCCACGAAAAGATAAGTTGGTGTCACCCGGTGTGGTAACACTTGGTGACACCCCCTCCGACAATCCCCGCAGAATGGATCGGATGTGCGGATTGAGCATAATGGATCGGACTCCGATCCATTATGCTCAATCTGCAGATCCGATCCATCCTGCGGGGATCGTCGGCTTTCTTTTCAACTTAGCTTTCTGTGGAGCGGGTCCGGTGTCACCCCGTATAGGTTGCATGCCGACGATCCCCGCAGGATGGATGGGATCTGCGTATTGGGGAGCATAATGGATCGGACTCCGTTCCATTATGCTCAATATGTAGATCTGAACCATCCTGCGGGGATCGTCGGCATGCAACCTATACGGGGTGACACCAGACCCGCTCTACAGAAAGCTAAGTTGTAAAGAAAGCTGACAATCCCTGCAGGATGGATGGGATCTGCGGATTGGGGAGCATAATGGATCTGACTCCGATCCATTATGCTTAATCCGCAGATCCGAACCATCCTTCGGGGGATTGTCGGCATGCAACCTATACGGGGTGACACCGGACCCGCTCCACGAAAAGGTAAGTTGTAAAGAAAGTCGACGATCCCCGCAGATGGATCGGATCTGCAGATTGAGCGTAATGGATCGGAGTCCGATCCATTATGCTTAATCTGCAGATCCGATCCATTCTGCGGGGGATCGTCGGAGGGGGGTGTCACCAAGTGTTACCGCACTGGGTGACACCAACCCTGGGGACGCCCCTGCATGACGGCGTATGCACAGCCCGACTCTTGTACCCAGGGATGTCTGGAGCTGTGAAGGTGAGTGTCTTTCTCTCTCTCTCCATGGGCTATGGTAGTGGAAGGGTGGAAGGCTCTCTCGGGTGGGAGTCAGGTGTGTTGTTGGTCAATGTCAGGCTTTCTCTGCGGGGGGCGCCGATTTTTGTGTTGCCTAGGGTAGCACAAAACCTAAATACACCACTGCTAGCTAGTGGTGTATTTAGGTTTTGTGCTACCCTAGGCAACAAAAAAAATCGGATGCTCCCTCCCCGGCAGAGAGAGCCTGACACCGACCAACACCAGCCCCCCCATGAAGAGAGCCTGACATCGACCAACACCAGCCCCCCCCTACGAAGAGAGCCTGACAATGACCAACAACACCCCCTGCCCCATTCCTCCCCCCCCCCACCCGAAAGAGCCTTCCACTAACACCACCACCCCCCCAGGGAAAGAGAGAAAGACACTCACCTTCACAGCTCTGGACATCCCCGGGAACGACAATCGGGCTCTGCATACACCATCAAGAAGCCCACAGCCTCTCTCAGATCACACTTGGTCCCCATGTCGCATATGTCCCTTCTTCCAAAGGGCAGTGGTCCCCGCCTAAAAAATGCCTTGTTTGCCTTGTGGTAAATACGCCCCTGATACTAGAACATAATGCAAAACTAAGCCCTCCAGTGGCACACTGCCAGCCCTGTAGAGGTTTCCATCTTCCCCGGTATTCCTTAAGGGTTCACAAGCTCCAGCCATCTGACTGGCAGAGCCGCGATGACGTCATGAGCACAGGGGTCTCAGGACACGGCACAGTTCTCTGAAGGAACAGCAAGGGTATTCCAGTCCTTCAGACCGCATGCGCTGGCCACAAAAAAAAACTTGTCTCCTAAACGGTGCAGGTTTAGGAGATATTCATTTTACCTAAAGGGAAGGTTTATTACAAGCTCACCTGTAGGCAATTATATACAAAGTGGGTTTACTTCCACATTAACGCAGAAGACTGAGATCATCCTTCGTGTATGAAATGCACAAACGTGACAAACCTTCCGCCTTCACAACCGCTTGCAACAACTTTCATGAGCATGTTGATAAGGGGAAAGCAGGGTAGGCAAAATATACGCAGATTAAACTTCAGCTTTAGCCCGGGTTCACATATGTGCGGTGCAGTAGATTGCATGTGATTCGCACAGGAACCGCACCGCATTCCTGTGCAAATCACATGCGATTTGTGTGCGGTGCGATCGGAGTCGTACATTATGTATGGCTCTATTTGCACAGCATCCGCACCAAAAACATGCAGGACCCTTTTTTGGTCCACACTAGAATAGGATTGCACGGGTATTCACACCTATGCGATCTGATTCTACACATCGCATCGCGTTTTGCGGACCGCTTTTTGGGTGTTAACATACACACCCGCAGCGGTTCGCATGAACAGGGTGCGATTCTGATGCGGTGAGGAATTTGCACAGAAAACACTGCAAATTCCGCACTGCATCAGTGTGAACCCGGCTGAAATGACTTTGCAAGCTATGGTATTAATAATCCCTCTCAATGGTCGTTTGGAGGAATCTCCTGCACCCCAGTCATTTGGAGGAAATCTCCTGCACCCCAGTCATTTGGAGGAATCCCAGTCATTTGGAGGAATCTCCTGCACCCCAGTCATTTGGAGGAATCTCCTGCACCCCAGTCATTTGGAGGAATCTCCTGCACCCCAGTCATTTGGAGGAATCTCCTGCACCCCAGTCATTTGGAGGAATCTCCTGCACCCCAGTCATTTGGAGGAATATCCTGCACCCAGTCATTTGAAGAAATCTCCTGCACCCCAGTCATTTGGAGGAATCGCCTGCGCCCAGTCATTTGGAGGAATCTCCTGCACCCCAGTCATTTGGAAGAATCGCCTGCGCCCAAGTCATTTGGAGGAATCGCCTGCGCCCAGTCATTTGGAGTAGTCGCCTGCGCCCAGTCATTTGGAGGAATCTCCTGCACCCCAGTCATTTGGAGGAATCTCCTGCACCCCAGTCATTTGGAGGAATCTCCTGCACCCCAGTCATTTGGAGGAATCTCTTGCACCCAGTCATTTGGAGGAATCGTCTGTGCCCAGTCATTTGGAGGAATCACCTGCACCCAGTCATTTGGAGGAATCTCCTCAACCCAGTCATTTTGGAGGAATCTCCTGCACCTCAGTCATTGGAGAAATCGCCTGCACCAAGTCATTTGAAGGAATCGCCTGCGCCCCGTCATTTGGAGGCATCTCCTGCACCCCAGTCATTTGGAGGAATCGCCTGCACCAAGTCATTTGGAGGAATCGCCTGCACCAAGTCATTTGGAGGAATCGCCTGTACCAAGTCATTTGGAGGAATCGCCTGCACCCAGTCATTTGAAGAAATCTCCTGCACCCCAGTCATTTTGGAGGAATCTCCTGCACCCCAGTCATTTGGAGGAATCTCCTGCACACCAGTCATTTGGAGGAATCGCCTGCGCCCAGTCATTTGGAGGAATCGCCTGCGCCCAGTCATTTGGAGGAATCTCCTGCACCCTGTCATTTGGAGGAATCTCCTGCACCCAGTCATTTGGATGAATCTCTTGCGCCAAGTCATTTGGAGGAATCGCCGGCGCCCAGTCATTTGGAGGAATCTCCTGCACCCTGTCATTTGGAGGAATCTCCTGCGCCCAGTCATTTGGATGAATCTCCTGCGCCAAGTCATTTGGATGAATCTCCTGCGCCCAGTCATTTGGAGGAATCGCCTGCGCCCAGTCATTTGGAGTAATCGCCTGCACCCCAGTCATTTGGATGAATCTCCTGCGCCAAGTCATTTGGAGTAATCGCCTGCACCCCAGTCATTTGGAGGAATCGCCTGCGCCCAGTCATTTGGAGGAATCGGAATCGCCTGCGCCCAGTCATTTGGATGAATCTCCTGCACCCCAGTCATTTGGAGGAATCGCAAAGCAGTGATGTGAGCGGGGAGATGTGATGACAATGGGGGGCAAGTGCTGGGGGGGGGGGGGGGGGGTGTGATATAAAGGGGTGCAGTGCTGGGGAAGGGGATTTCAAGGGGAAGAGTGCTGTGGGTGGGGGGTTGAAAGGGTCAGTGCCGGTGAGGGGAGATTTAAAGGGGAGCAGTGCTGTGGGGGGATGTGAAGGGAGTAGTGGTGTGTG